TAACTCTAATTCCCCAACAGGAGCAACTATAACCATCAAGCCCTCATGGAGGGGCCAGTCTCTTCCTCCTTACTTTCACACAGTCCAGCTGGGGGCTGAGGAGATGCTTGGAATGTCACTCCCCCTCCCTGTAACCTTGAAGCTCCATACCAGGATCCTCCCCACTCCAGTGATGGAGGACCCATGGCTCCAGGAGGCAGGTGGTTCCACTGTTTAATTGCTCTCATGAATAAGGCATATGCTTGAACTATTCTAGGAGTTGAATAGTTCAAGCATATGCCCTATTCATGAGTTGAAATTCTTTTTTATGGATTAAAACTTTTCTATAATAATATTTTTTCTATAATAAACTTTCCTTTAATAAAAATTACCTATCAGGAACTTTTGGAATCTTCTGAGCTTGCCTGAGTCCAGTCCTACCTGCCAGCTGACAATTACAAATTTTAACAACATTATTTGCATACGTTAAGAACAAACTGATCTAGCGGTTCTTCTTTTGGGACTGATGCATAAACAGTTGGAAAAAGTCATAGAACTTTGTTTTTGTACATGATAACTGCAATGAGATTATTGTATGCACAAATATGGAAAGATTTGGCATTACCCACAATGGAGGAATGGTTGGTGAAAATGATGGAACTTGCTGAGATGGCTAAACTGACTTCTTTGATTAGAGAAAAGACAATACCTACATTTATTGCTGACTGGAAACCCTTTATTGACTTTTTGTGTGAAACAGAAAAAAATGAACTTATGATTTATGATTTTGATGACTAAACAGAAATAGATTATAGAAAGAAGAGGGGTATATTGTAACCACAGAGTAAGAGGTAAAGTTATAATTGTACTTATAACTGCTACAAAGGAAATCGGAAGCTACTTCTTTGTATCTTTTTTCTTTCTTTTCTATTTTTCTTTACTTTCTTTTTCCTTTCTAGCACTTCTCTTTGATTTCTTTTTCTTTCTTTTCTTTTTCTTATTTTATATTACTTTGTGTTGGTTTTTATATTCTTCTTAAAAATTATTAATATATATATATACAGTATATATATGAAACGTGAAACTTATTGAAATATGAAGAATGATGGATTTAAGATTATCTGCACCCAATTTAAAACCCTGGGAGGAAGACATGTGTACAACTTTGCATACAATTAGGTTTTTTATCAATATTATGGAAAGTCCGATCAGTATGATTTTGTGTGATCAAAATTTAATTTGTGGCTTAAAACTTGAGTTTATCATAACATCCATTTTTCAATTTTTGTTTTATTTTTTCTTTTTTTTCTTTCTTAAAACTTTTGTGTTTAGCTAATTTATTCCCTTTTATTGGTAGATTAAAGGCAATTAAAACATTAAAAAAAGAAACCTTATCAAGCTAAGTGCAGTATGTACAGTACATCTAGCCAATGCATCCCTGAGTCGTCTTCTCTATTCAGAACATACTGTCTTCAATAAGTCCTTTGGCTCCTTTCTTACCAATCCTAACTCCATATTTGGCCACAGCATTACATTTAGCATAGCAAAGGAAAGGAGAAATTACTTAAGAATGGCCTTGGTAACTGTTGTCCTTGGTAGAAACAATTAGATGTGTGTGAGATGGGGGCTGTGGGTGGGATATGTTGCTGGTCTCCAACTCTTATCATCCTGACTGCTGAGCTAGACAATTGTATTTAATTAATTAAATTTATAAGGCTGCCCAACCCTACAATGACTCTGATTGTATCCGAAGGATAGTACAGACCAACAACATTTGGAGAATGACAGGTCCCCATTCTGAACTAAATGTCATATCTTAAAACAAGAACGTGGAATTTCTGCCCTCTATCACATTGTAGTTCTACTCATCCCTGTTCACTGTGGCTGATTTCCTAACACTAGACACAGTTCAATCATGGAATAAATTATCCAGAGAACTCTCTTTCACTTGATAAATGCAAGCATACGGCTAGCCAGCCATCTGTCTGGAATGCTTTAATTTGGATGCCTGCACTGCATAGAGGGTTGAAATTAATGGCCTAA